GGTGGGGGCTGAGGAGGGGGCTGGAGGCTGTATGGGGAGGGGCTGTGTCTGTCTGTCCGTATCTTCCCCTCTCTCAAACACACAGGTACGGCCAGTCCCTCCCCAGGTACACGCTGAATCCACACAACAGATTTCAATCCCCTCATTCATGGTGATGGGAGGAAGAGAACATGGAGCGAGAGAAACTTCCAGAAAGGCCGGGGCATCTCCTGATCACCTGGTTTCCCCTCCCCACTGTGAGAAGCACCTTCAGAGATGGGAGGCAGGACCCGTGGGTAGTTTAGTGACTGCAGGAGGGCAGGCTAATCCTCCCTTCCAGAACCTTCCGTCCAGCTCTCCCAGCCCCTGCTCCCCCCCAGGCTGGGAAAGCCCAGGGCAGAACTGGACACGGTAGAGAGGTGGGCACACAGGGTGTCCGGCCCAGCCCTGCCAGCCAACCCCTCACACCGGGGCAGCCTCCCGGCTCCTGCAAGGAGCTCATCTTGCCGCCCCGCAGGGCCAGGCTGGGCGGGTCTCCAGCTGGGCCCACTTCATGTCCTGCAGCTGCAGCCAAGCACCCTGCTGGCCCCGCAGCTCAGCCTGACCTCACAGAGTGGGAAGCTGGGCCTGCGTCAGGCCAGCGTCCGTCTCTCCGCACGTCTAACCAGGAGCAGCCGCTGATAGGCATGGCACGCTGCTCTCCCATCCTTTACCCATTAGCCGGCCTCCTGGCTGCTTCCCCGAGCTTCCCCCGCCGTCTGCTGCCTCCGGAGAGCTAGGGTGCTGGGTAAGGTCCCTGCTTCCTGCAGGCCCATGGGACTCAGGCCTCAGGGGCCACTGGTGGGTGGGCGGGCTTGGTGAGGGGCGGTGAGGGACAGAGGAGGGTCTCAGGTGGTGCCTTGAGTGCTATGCACTTTGACCGTGTTCTCCGTGCTAAGTCAAACACACACAACTTACCACCTGCCTCAGTCTCCTCCTCGGTAGAACAGAGATAACCACAGGCCTTATCGCCTAGGGATTTGGCACAAGGTAATACGTAAAAGGCACTTAGATGTTTCTTGGCCCCTGGTGATGGCTCTAAGCAGGTTCGCTGCTATTGGACCCAGAAATCACACACCCTCTGCTCGGTGGGTCCTTGCTCTTTCATGAGTGAGTGAGCGAGCTGGCAGAGAATCACAAGTGTTTGTGATCAAGAGGCGAGAGCACCAGGGCAGGCTGGGTCAGGATGGCCGGGGGTGGGGAACTCGGAAGCCAGCCACACCCTCCTCTCCTTCCTGGCTCCCATACCCCCGACTCAGAGCAAGCATTTTCCAGGCCCTGTGGGCCGCCCGCACTGGCCCTGGCTGGGGATGGAACCTACAACCTGGGCATCTGCCTTGCCCGGGGTTTGAACCCATGGCCTTCCGGTGCACGGGACGATGCTCCAATCAACTGAGCAACACTGGCCGGGACTCCAGCTATTTCTAATAATGCTGCTATAAACCTTCAGGTACAGGTTTTGGGAGGAACCTCGGTTTTCATTTCTCTGGGATAAATGCCCAGGAGTGCAAATGCTGGCTCATACGAGAGTTGCATGTTTCGCTTTATAAGGGTCTGATGAACGGTTTTCGAGAATGCCTATACCCTTATTTTTAAAATGGAATTATACTCTAACACCTGCTTTTTTCATTGAACAATATGTACAAACATTGCTCCAGGTCAATACCTATAGATCTTTTAAGAAAACCTGTTTATTGCTTATTTATGTGTATTTTTTATTGTTGATCGTATTACAGATGTCTTCTGTTTACACTCCCTTTACTCCCATCCTCCCAGCCCCTATCCACCCATCCCAGGTGTTCAACACCTTATTGCCCACGGGCTATGCATGTAAATATGTAAGTTTTTTTGGTTTATCTCTTCTCATCCTCCCAACCCCACATCAAGGTATGTCAGTCTGTTCCATGGGCTTGGGTCTTATTTTGTTGGTCAATTCATTTTGTGCATTAGATTCCACAAATAAGTGAAATCATGTGATATTTGTCTTTCTCAGACTGGCTTATTTCACTTAGCATAATATTCTCTAGGTCCATCCACACTGTCCCAAAGGGTAAGAGATCCCCTTTTTTTTTTAGCTGTATAATATCCCATTGCAGGGTTCTCAACCTGTGGTTCACCAACCTATGGGTCGCGACCCCTTTGGGGGTCGAACAACCCTTTCACAGGGGTCGCCTAAGACCATCGGAAAACATATATATAATTACGTATTGTTTCTCTGATTAATCACTATGCTTTAATTATGTTCAATTTGTAACAATGAAATTGGGGGTCACCACAACATGAGGAACTGTATTAAAGGGTCGCGGCATTAGGAAGGTTGAGAACCACTGTCCCATTGTGTCAATGTCCCACAACTTTTGTATCCATTCATCTACTGATGGGCACTTGGGCTGTTGCCAAATCTTAGCTATTGTAAATTGTGCTGCTATGAACATAGGGGTGCAAATATCATTTCTGACTGGTGTTTCGGGATTTTTAGGATATATTCCCAGAAGTGGGATTGCTGAGTCAAATGGAAGTTCCATTTTTAATTTTTTGAGGAAACTCCGTACTGTTTTCCATAGTGGCTACACCGGTCTGCATTTCCACCAGCAGTGTACTAGGGTTCCCTTTTCCCCCACATCCTCGCCAGCACTTGTTGTTTGGTGATTTTTTTGATGATAGCCATTCTGATCGGTGTGAGGTGATATCTCATTGTGGTTTTAATTTGCATCTCTCTGATGATCAGTGACTTTGAGCATTTTTTCATTTATCTCTTGTCCATTTGTATGTCCTCTTTGGAGAAATGCCTATTCAGGTCTTCTGCCCATTTTTCAACTGGATTTTGTCTGTCTTCCTTTTGTTGAGTTGTATGAGTGCTTTAAATCTTGGATGTTAACCCAAAGAACCATAAGTTGATATTAATCCAAAAGTTGCTGAAAATCCTAGAAGGAAAGGGATAGTGTAGGGACCAGTGGAATAAATCTTGCTCCAACACTGGTAATGCTAAAAGGAAAATATGCTTTGACAGACATGAGGAAACCATATATTTATACATTCGATCTGAAAATAAAACTTAGGTTTTGAAACATTAGCCTGGGTATACACACGATTGTTCCAAATCTCTTCCAATGTATTTTGCTAACCTCATCTCTACAGGAGGCAGCCCATTGATGTTCCACTCTCACATCAATGTTCCTGTCTCTCCCCGTCTCCCTTCCTCTCTCTCTAAAAATCAATAACAAATATTAAAAAAACAACACCCCAAAACTCAGGAACTGGGCCAGAGGGAGATCTCCCTGCCCTAAGAGTGTAGGAATGTACACCTACATCATGAACCACCTTTGTTAAAGGGAACATCTGGAAAGAAATATCTTCAAGTGTGTGCAGTGTTTTGTTTCTGGGTGATAGGGTTATGAGCGAATTAAAATTCTCCTCTTTAGATTTTTTTCTGTATTTTTGGAGTCTTCTACGATGTATGAAAATGAACCAATATGGCTTATTAAAGGAAAGGAAACCGAATCTTTGATTCTGAGGGAAAGGGTGGCGGTGTGTCTGAAATGAGCACAGATCCACCTGGACGTGGAAGCAGGTGAATGGAATGTGAACCGTGGTGCCGGGAGGGTGTGCTGGCAACATGTGAGCCTCTGGGCTGGGCTGGTCGTGTCTTGAGGTCATGCCCTGAACTAGGATGACCAGGCCTCAGGGAACAAGGCCATAGGTAAAACCAGGAAAGTCCCAGGCAAACGGGGATGAGTTGGTCACCCCGTGAGTCATCCCAGGGTGCCCCCACAATGGGCCACCTCAGAGGTTTGTCGTGACGAAGGGAACCGTGGAGAAAAGAATGCTACAGGGAGACTTAATAATGAATGGTGATCATCTGCGTCACCCTTTACTGCTTTTCACAAGCACGAGTTCACGTGCTCCTCACTTGCTCTAACCGGCAGCTGCGGACACCTACTGAGAGCGAACGGACACCCTGAGCCGCGCTTCGTGCTTCTCTGCCCCCCTTTCACTCCAGTCTTCACTGATGCAGCCACCAGCTCCGCCCTCGCAGCACCTGCCGGAGCCATGATTCAGTTATTTCTTGCTTTTGCCCCATGGCTCTGGGTGGATGGCCCAGGGGAGCTGCCTTGCACCTGTGTGTGTGGATGCTAAAAGCTCGAGGGATTAGCTTTGAGCAGGAGGATGGGAGCTGGTGGATAAATGTTCCCGTCCTCCAGGCTTAGATCCACTCCACCTGCTTAAGGGAGGCAGGTCCAGCAGTACCGAGTCAAGGGATGATCAACTCGGGGTCACTCCTGCACTGGTGCTCCCTCTCTTTCAGTTCCACTCCTCCCAGCCCTCCCCCATGTCCGATCCCTAGGAGGACCCCCCAATAAACACCGCCTGCATGCAAACCCTGCCCAGGCTATGACGAAAGCTCACGCGCTGGGCACGTTCAATGCATCAGCCCATTTCATCTTTGTAATAAGGCTCTTTTGAAGCCGGAAGACAGAGGCTTAGAGATGTTGAAGAACCTGACTTCACTACCTTCGCTGCAGAGGCCCAGCTGTGGACGATCAGACAATCTCCCTGACGCTGCAAAGGAAAGTCTTCACCCACTTTAAAGACTCGGCTCAGGGGACACCTGGGTGCACGTGGCAGAGCGTGGCCCCTGGAGTCCAGCTCCTTGAAGTTTCATCGCTTCCTCCAGCCCCACCCTGACGCTGCCTTTTCAGGAAACCCTTGGGCCGCTGGTCTTTCTCCCCAGGACTGACCAGGACTTTCAAATGCTCTCCAATGGTGTCTCCAGGCCTCAGTAGAGGCAGCTGGGGGTGGGCGGGGCTGTTGGAGAAGGAGGCCCACGTGGAACGCCCCTTCCGGCTCCAGGACAGGATGTGAATACAAAGCCAAAGGGGCCGGGAGAAGAGGTCGCTGAGTGAGGCTTTCCTGCACCGTCCTTCCCACAACACTGAACTGAGCACATTACTGTGCCCGGCGCTGGAGCTACAGGTCTGAGGTAGGCATCGCCCTAAGCCCCCGTTCTGGGGGGACTGGTAAGACAGAAAGATGAAATAAGTGACTGTCAGTCTCTTTTCGGGTGGTGATAAGAGCAGGCAGGCAGGGGAAGGGGTTGGAGGTGTTTTAGGTCCGGGGCTCCTATCCCGAACTTAAGGCTGAGCTCAAAGCTGAGGTTGGGGCCTCAGGTGTGGGCCCACATCTGCGAACAGATACCCCTGTGGGATTTCAAAATATCCTCACCATTCCCACCCTCCCGGTCAATTGGAGGAGTGGAAAGTCCCAGAAGAGGCCCAGGGGCTGATTAGGGCTGCTCAGATGGGAGGAGGAGGGAGAATGAGAACCACATGGGGCCAGACATTCCACCAGCTTCATGTGAATCATCTGTGTTGGAAAACAACATACTTTTCTAAATGGCTTATCAATTTGAACTTTGTAATCATTTGAAGTGGCTGTGTCCTACTGTACATTGGGTCACTGCATGCCGGTCACGGCAATGGTCCAAGGGCCAAATGGACCAAGTCCTTATCTCAAAGTGGGGCACCTGGGAGGAGCTCCCCTTCCCGGTGCCAATCACTTGCCAGGATGACTTCCCCTCCGGTGTTTTCCCAGAGCTGCTTATCTGTGAGCCTGGCCCCTGTCCTGACCCTAACCTCCTGTGGGAACAGACTAGCAGGACTGGAGGGCTGTATGTCTCCAGAAAGGACCCAGGCATTCATGGAGGAGGTGGAGAACTGAGGGGTGGCAGGGTTTTGGCCAGGTTGGTGGGTGAGGACTTGGGGGGAGAGTGTTATCTCACAAAAAGAATGATGGCAAGGATTTACTTAGCACCTATTATGTGCCAGGCACTACTTTTAAGCATCTGACATTTATTAACTCCCGTCACCTTCATCACAACCCTACACTATTTGCTACTAGGTGCCCTAGCCAGGACTTGAACCTAGGTCACCCGAATTCAGAGTGTGCCCTTACCCCTCCTACCCTGGAGGCAGGACATAGTGTGCTCTCTGAGCTACATGTAGTTCTGATTGGCTGGAGCATGATGGGGGAATGTGGGTGCCTGACACGCTTTATTGTTGGGAAAACTCTTGGGCTAAGGGCATTGGCTGGTGTTTGAGGCTGAATTAACCTGTCACTGGAAGATGGAGATGCTCTGGCAGAGGGTGTGCAGGTAGGCCGGCCATGTGTTCTAGAACCTCAGACAGTATGGCATGGGTAGGGAGCAGCAATGGGGTGCAGCAGCTGGGCTGAGGGTCTCACATGACAGGCTCAGATGGGCTTTGATGGTACAGTCTCCATGGAGTCACCAGAGGGTGGAAGACCCTGAGTGGGCAGGGGCCACTCCTGAAAGGAGCAGCAAGGTGTGAAAAGAAGAAAGGCAGTGGCAATCGGTGTGCCTGGTTTGGGGAGACCCAGTTCTTGTCCTTCGATGTGCCTGCAGATGAGGGGCCAGAGGCCAGGATGGAAATGACTTGGCCAAGTTCATCCCAGTGCAAAGAGGCAGGAGTATTCGTTTCTAGGGCTGCCGTACCAAAGTACCGCAAACCAGGTGGCTTACCTAACAGAAATACCTGGTCTCGCTGTTCTGGAGGCCAGAAGGCCAAGCTCAAGGTGTGGGCAGGGTTGGTTCCTTCCGAGGGCTCTAAGGAAGGATGTGTTCCAGGCCTCTCAGTGTCCGGGGTTTGCTGACAATCATTGGCGTTCATTGGCTTGTGGGACCATCACCTTGATTTTGGTCTTCATCTTCGAATGGCATTCTCCCTGTGTGTGTCCGTCCATCTCCAAAATTGCCTTTTCCCACAAGGACACCAGTCATACTGGATTAGGCTCCACCCTAATGACCTCCTTTTAGCTTGGTTATCTCTTTAAAGACCCATACTCCAGATAAGGTCACATTGGGAGGCACTGGGGTAAGACTTTAATTGTGTCCCTGCAAATTCAATGTAAGAATTTGAAGGGACACAATTCAGCTCATCACACAGGTTTCGGAGCCGATGCCCAGCTAGGTATCCAGGCCAGTGCTCCAAGTTGCTGTCAACCCAGGCTTCATGCTTCTCCCAACCCTCGAGCTCTTTGCTCCCCGTAATTCCCCCCTCAGAGCTCTCCCTCATAATTCATTGACTTCCATGCTATCTCCAAAGAACACTCCTAATAGCTGTGATTTATCAATTGGCATCCGCTGGCATCCTCCTAGGGCTGGCCCCTCTCCAGCTGCAGCTAGGCAGGCTGTCGGATAAAGAAACTCCAGGCTTGGAGAGGTGGCCTGGACTCAGCTGGACTTTCCCGGCTGAAACCCTGTTAAGCCACTATGACCTTCAGTTCCTTCACCCAACTTATATTCATGGAGCTCCTGTTATGTGCTAGATGCTGGGGATCCAGCAGAGTGTCTGCTCGCTAAGAACTCGCATCCTCTCTTACTGGACACAGGGCTTCACTGTTTCTCAGCTTCCTTTATAGCTCGATGTGGCTGTGTGACTGAGTTGGTAAATTGAGTGTGAGCAGAGGTGATGTGTGCCCTTTCTGGATAAGGCTCTGGAGAAGTTGGTGTGCCCCCACCAACTCCATTTGCCCCCCCCACCCTTCCCACCAGCCACAGGGAATGGGGGAGCCACAAGATGGAAAGGACCTGGGTCCTGAATCCCACTGTGGAGGAAACCTGCTATGAAGAGGAACACCCACTGTTCCATGAACAATGGATCCACTTCTTTTACGTTTAAGACATTATACATTTTGGCATGTTTCAGTTATAGCCATAATCAACAATACAAGAAAAAACCAAGATAGACATGGTCTCTGCCATTCTGGAGCTTGCTGCTTCTAGTCATTCAATGATGACCGAGGGAAGAAGCCTGCAAGAGGGGTCCAGCGCTTTGAGAGCAAGGCCTCCACTGAGGAACCTGGCCTCAGCTGCAGGGCAGAGGTCAGGAAAGCTTCTCCCCACCTGGAAAGTGGGGAAATAGTTTACCATCTTTCAGAGCCGAGGGGAGGCCCAAGGAGGCCCATGGTGGTCAAAGCGTTTTGAGAAGGATAAATCCTGATGATGTTGTCACGGTGAGAATACAGTTTTTAACTCCTCGTTTCTTGGAGATGCCTTTGAACAGACCTGTTTTCTGACTAAAGTGTCCCTGGGCAATGACCGCACTGACAACCAGGGTGTCACACACACTCTTTTCTTGCTGAGAGTCACTGAGGTGCCTCACTGTCCTTATAGGATCTTGCTTAGGTTTTGATGTAAACACGGTTCATTCACTCAGCCCTTTGCTCATCCTTCCTTTTAATTCAGCAATCATTTATTGACGCCAGGCTGTAGGAGCCCAAAGACATGGGTCCTGCCAGCAAGAACTTATAGCCTCCTTAGGGAGGTGAGTGCACACATCTCCTTAGAACACGGCAGCCAGTGACTGGCACAGGCTACAGGGAGGTGGCAGGTTCACAGAGTTCCAAAGAATTGGGCCTGAGTGTTGGATGGGTCATCTGGGCAGTTCTGGGAAGGGGCTGGGCTCACAGAGCCGGGGGGAAGTAGTATTAGATGTCTGATGGTTCTGACACAGAGGCACATTAGGGAGTTAGGAAAATAGCAGGTGTGGGGGTGGCGATTGAGGCTGGAAAATGTAGGTGGGGCTGCAGTCAGGGAGGTGGCCTGGATTGCCCTGCAAAAGGACTGGATTTAATGCCACCGGCTCCAAGGTGCCACCGTGAGCTTTCCTTAGCTGGAAAGTCTCTTTATGGCTAATTTCAGGAGCTCTAGTCCCTCTTGGGCTCTGCACGTCTGCGATTTTATTCCCAGCCTGGCGGGGTGTCACTTGACCTGTTAGGTTGTAGGGCCCCACCCTGGGGCCTCTTGGGCATCTTATTTTAGTCTCAGAGGAGCCCAGCTGCCGGGAGATTGCAGGATGCACTCCCCCAGGATTAACAAGCTCTCTCTTCATTTGTTCCCCTCACATTGGAGCTCCTTGTGAGGAGGAACACATTTAAACTCTGGCTCAGTCGGCAGCTTCCTGCAGCTGTCAGACGGGCCATGGCAGCCCCAGTAGCCGCTGCTGCCAGGAGTGCAGGGTGAGGAGGCCAGCGGGACCTTGGACTCAGCCTGCCGCCCCCTCGCTCCCTGTCACTCACAAGGAGAGAGTCATGTTGAGGAGCATTGGGCCTCAGCTTGCAGCATTTCAGACCTGACAGAGAAGGATGAATTCTACAGCAACCTGGACCCCAAGTCTCCTCCCTCAGTTCTAGTCTGTGACCAGGCAGCAGGCAGAGGGCTCCATCTCCAAGCCACTTCCTATTTCTAGCAGTCCAGGTGACAACTAGGTCCAGTAGGCTGTTTCCCCCAAATGGGACAACCCAGAGGAAGGCTGGTGGAGGATTTGGGGGAGAAGCCACCCTTGTCATCAGCACCAGGAAGGCGGCACCTGTTGCAATGGGCTGGGCTCTGGTTCAATGTCCACTAGGTGATGCGGTCTGTCCGGAACCAGTTCTGGTTCAAGCCCCTGCCCCAGGCAGTAGGTTTCCCAGAGACAACTCTATTTCTGCCCCAAACTCTTATCTCTATAGACCTGAAACTGGAGATCAGTTAGTTTGGTAAACTGAGGCATCTCTCTAGATCAGTGGTTCTCAACCTTCTGGCCCTTTAAATACAGTTCCTCATGTTGTGACCCAACCATAAAATTATTTTCGTTGCTACTTCAT